AATCACTGAACAGTGTCGCCCCCCCATCTCTCTGATCTGCTACAGCCGTATGTCCCACCACGTTCCCTGAGGTCAGCGGACCAGTTGCTCCTCACAGTTCCAGGAACTCGTCTTAAGCGCAGAGGTGACAGGGCCTTCTCTGTAGCAGGACCAAGACTTTGGAACGAGTTACCTCTGCTTGTCAGACAGGCCCCCTCCCTCTCGGTTGTCAAGTCCCGTTTAAAAACCCACTACTATTCAGTAGCTTTCAACACCAGATGATCTGTGTTTTGAACCTGTACGCTCCACACTGGTTAGTCGTCATATTTATTATCTGCATCGTTTTTATGTCTATATTCTGATTTACCTCATTTTGTATTTTGCTTTGTGTTACCTGTTGTTCTGTCTGTACAGCACTTTGGCTGGCCTTGTCGCTGTTTTAAGTGCTCTATAAATAAAATGGTATGGTATGGTAAAATCTACGAGAGCTTAAATGCGTCTCATAAATTTTTCGGGTATGTTTAGTGATTTTACCACAGACGTCTGAGGCTTCAGAAAGTTCAACTCAAGACATTGTGAGAAACTCTGACTGAAGTCACTCAGCTCCGTTGTGTCAGTTAGTGAACGTCAGCTGGGGGGTTTAATAAAGCTTCATTATTTATTCATGAAGACTTTCAGAGACAAACATGTTCATTAATCTGCTGCATGCTAATCAATGCTAATGGGAAACACAGGACCAGAGGGACTTCTTTATTTAAATCAACAAGAAAACAGATTTACATCCCACAACTTCTAACAGATATCAGAGCTTTACAAGTGTCTGTTCACCCCTCAGCTCGTCTTGTCAGGCTGACAGGGCTCTGAATGAACAATTTGATCAGCAGTGTTGACCAAACAGTCTGGGCTTAAAGACGTTCAATCCCAGATTATCTTAAGAACACCACCACTGGTGTTACTGTGGAGACCAGTAAATATTACTACGATCCAATAATGGTCAATAAGGTCATCTGGACAGTTTCTTTTTTGTAGAAAGATGTTTCGCTTCATCAGTCTGAGGAGTCCCAAGTAAACCGTTTTCCCCACTAAGCCCTCTTGATAGAGGGCGAAACATCTTTCCACAAAAATTACAAGATATTTGTGTGAACAAAGTTTAATCGGTCCAAATGGTTATAATAACAAACAGTGAATAATATTCCATATTTATCAGTACAACAAACTAAATGTAAATATTTATTCAAACCACTCGAATAAAGTATTAATGCACAGACTTTAGTATTTCACTTCAAGCTAAAATAGACACACAGGCTGAAGAGAGGTCATTAAACAATTCTGAGACTCAAAATCTAATGTGAGCTTCAGAGTAGAAAATATTCATGGAGTCTCTTGAATACGTTGATAACAAAATCAAATGCAGCTCCAAACCAGCGTGTTTTTATTTATAACGTCTGAAAAACATCAGAGATTTTAAAAAAAGGCCAATTTCATCTGTTTATCACGTTTTATTTCACCAATTTATGTGAGGTTTACACTGAAACTTCATCAGTCTGACAGTTTATTTAAATAATGAACGGAATCTGATGCAGAACCTCGACTTTCTTCACGTTCCCCCAGAGTTTTAAGCAAATTATCTTATGTTGAGAAATAACAGTTATACCCGGTAGCTGTTTTGGTCAAACCCTGACATGATTGTTAGCACTGTTAGCACAATCTGTTAGCCTAATTTGTTAGCACTGGTAGTACGATCTCTTAGCATGATTTGCTAGCCTTGTTAGCCCAATTTGTTAGCACTGGTAGCACAATCTGTTAGCATAATTTGCTAGCCTTGTTAGCCTAATTTGTTAGTACTGGTAGCATGATCTGTTAGCATGATTCACAAGCATTGTTAGCCCAATTTGTTAGCACTGTTTGCACGAGCTGTTAGCTTGATCTGCTATCCCTGTTAACCTATTTTTTTGCCCTGTTAGCACAATCAATTAGCACAACATGATAGCACTGTTAGCATGATCTACTAGTATGATCTTCCAGCACTGTTAGCACAATCTGTTGACTTGATCTGTAAGCATGATTTGTTAGCAGTTAGCATGATCCATTAGTACTATTAGCATGATCTGTTGGTGCTGTCAGTCTGTGGTCAGTATGATCTGTTAGCATGATCTGTTAGCACTATTAGCATGATCTGTTGGTGCTGTCAGTCTGTGGTCAGTATGATATGTTAGCACTGTTTGCAGGACCTGCTAGCACCAGAGTGAATGACTTTCAGGCACTACAACATCAAATTTTAGCTCAGTGTCTGCAAAATTGGATGAGTTTTAGCCATTTTCTGTTTGCTAAGGTGAGTTAGCTGTGGCGGTCATCTTGAACCAGGTTGATCAGTTTGTCCTTGTTATAACGATGAGAAATGAAGAAAAAGACCAAAGATGTGGCACTACATCAGAAGAAAACCTCAAGTATTTGAGAGTAAATTTGAATTAACACACACAGATGTCATGTTTCTGATTAAAAATGTCAATGTTTTTATTGTGTCAGTGATCACGGCATGTTTGGGTCCTACAGCAACTTATTCAAGAGGAAACGACCGACTCTGACACGTTCTTATAAAATAAATATTATTTCCAGAATAAAGAACTTAAAAAACTGCTCCTGAGTCAGAGGAATATTTCTATAAGAATTCAGGATTTAATAAAATCAAAATTGGTAGATTCTTCAGTTACTCAGCAGGCGTGGGTTGTCATCCTTGTAGTTGTACGGGTCTCCTTTGAAGGGCAGGTATGGGGGGTTGTTACAGAGTCCCATCAGAAAGATGATGATGGTGCCGAACGTCATCACCGGAGTGATGAGGAAGAGGCAGAGCCGGTCCACCGTGCGGGCGATCCCGCTCCAGTTGTCCTTCTCCTGAGACAACAAAGGACAGGTTTTATTTTCTAAATCGGCCCATATTTTTATTTTCAGAGTCCTCCCGTCTCACCTCATTGTAGTCGTTCTTGTTGTGCATGTGTTTGACGATGTAGTTGGCTCCGTCCACGGCCGGTTTGATCTCTCCGTACAGCTGATCTGTCACGCCGTCTTCGTCCTGCGGCTTCACCACTGAACACAAACGCAGAAACCGGATCAGTCTCAGGTCAAGTTCCCGACGGGTGGAGTCAACTCAACGGATCTTTAGGTTTGAGGGTCTAAAACAGGACCCAGGTACCTGCGGCGTGCGTGGGCCGTTTGGCAAACCCATGCCTCTCAGACTGCTTCTCGAACATCAGCTCGCTGCGGGACTTGATGCTGTAATACTCCTCCGCACCTGCAATGTATCCCACCGAACTGGACCGCCGTGGCAGCGCGTTGTCCCATGTGGGCTCATCGTCCGCGGGACGGGACATCCGCAGAATCCGGGGCAACCGCTCCAGGAAAAACTGGACCGCAACACAAAGAACCTGCTGTTACCGTAACTTGTTCTAGGAAAAAGTTCTGTTGTAGTTTTCCTGTTACCCTCTTGGTCCAGTCGGTCATGACGTGTGTGCTCGGAGTTCGGAAGTGCAGGTTGAGGACGACGACGCAGTTCAACACGACCACCGTAACCAGAACCATGATGAACATCAGATACCTGAGAACCACAGGGACAGATTAAGACCATCCACAGAAACCTCAGATCCTTTAAACTGGTTCTGGATGTGGTTCATTCTGAACAAATATCTCACTAAAACAAAGCAGAACCTCATCTGCCTCCAACAAACGATTTTCAAACAAATCTTCATACAAATGGTTTTTAGAATAATGTAAAAAACAGTAGCTAAAAGAAGCAAATGCTAACCTAAAGCTAAAAGCAGCAAACATGCTAAACAGCAGAATAGTAGCAAAAAGTAAAGAATCTGTAGATAAAATTACCTAATCAGTAACTATAAGCTAAATGTGTACGAATGATTAAAAACAAAATGTAGAATAAACTACCGGTAAAAACAGAACAGTAACTAAAAGTGGCTAAACGGATAAAAGTAGACCATTGTAGCTAAAATTGTACAATTTCAGCTAAAACTACAAAATGGTTGCTAAAAGCTAAACATAGTAAAACTGTAGTTAAAAACTAAAAGTAGCTAAAGGAAACCAAAATATAAAAGTAGAAAATAAATCAGCTAAAATTAGCAAAACAGTAGGAAAAGTACAAACACTGTAGCTAAATGTAGCTACATTGTAGATAAAGCTGTCAAAATGTTTGTAGGCTGAAAGTAGCTAAAACCTAAATATAGCATAAAGTAGATAAAAACAGAACAGGAGCTAAAAGATAGCAAAACATATGTAGATGTCCCTCTCTAATAATGAGATACCTACTTTACAATGAGTGGGACGGACGTGGACGTCTCCGGCAGTCTCTGAGAAATCAGCAGCAAGAAGACAGACTGAGCCAGAAGCACAGAGATGGACAGTGTCATCTTCTCACCACCTAAACACAAACACACACTTCAACACAAAGCCAACAGAGTCCAGACTCTGGTTCTGGACGGGTCGGGTCACTGACTGTCGGCGGGCAGGTAGTAGACGAGCGAGGCCAGGAAGGAGATGAGGACGCAGGGGATGATGATGTTGACGATGTAGAAGAGAGGTTTGCGTTTGATGATCAGGTAGAAGGTGATGTCCTGGTGCTTGTTGCTCTCCATGGGGATGTGCTTGTAGGTGTTCCTCTTGGCTGGACGGTGGACGATCTCCCACTCGCCATTCTCTGAAGACACGGAACAAAGATCTGGGTCCTTAAGAGTTCCTTAATCCAGTCCAAGACCACCGAGGACCCATGCTGAATTAACAATTGGGGTGGTTTGGATTTGGCTCTTGGTGTGAACATCCCTACATAGATGGTTTGGTCCAAAATGGCAACAACATACCGGTAGTCTCTTCTAATCATTTGGCTTAGAAAAGTTTATTAAATATGAAAAAAATGTTACCTGTGAAGCCCTCTGGGTCGATAATGATCCACTCCACAGTGTACAGAATGGTATCGTTCGTTTCCTTCAGCATCATCTTGATCTCTTTAGCATTGTACGTCAAAGAGCTTAAAGAAGCAGCATAAAATATCTTGTTTTAGTTTTCTGGAGACAAACACTGAGCTCTAACGCTTTGACCTTGAAAACTTTTTACAGTAAATTTCCATAAACGTGAAATCAAGAAAAAAAAAAAAAGATTCTGATTTGTATTTTTCTGTGAAATGTTGTTTGAACACTAAGAAACTGAATGACAGCTGATGTTTGTTGAAGTTGAAACCGAGTTGTAATACTGAAAACGATACGGACAAAAGCTAAAAATCATAAAAACAAATGCTAAAAGTCAAAATAAGCATTTAAAACTAACAGAACTGTTCATAAAACCCAAAATCAGCAAGACAGTAGCTAAAGTTTAACACTAACAAAACAGTAGCTAAAAGTTAAACGTAGCAGAAAAGAAGCTGAAAACTAAAAGCAGCGAAAGAATAGCTGAAAGCTAAAACCTTGATGAGAACAGTAACTAAAAGGTACAACGAACAAAACATTAGCTAAATCCTAAAACTGTCACAAAAAACAACGAATACCTAAAACTAGCAAAAGTGTAGCTAAACTCTAAAACTAGTAAATTAGTAACTAAAGCCTAAAACTTGCAAAACAGTAGCTACAAGCTAACACCATCGGAACAGTGGCTAAAGTTTAAAAGCAGCAAAACCATAATAGCTAAAATCACCAGAACAGTCACTTAAAGCTAAAACCAGCAAAACAACAGCTAAATCCTAAAACTATCAAAACTGTAGCTGAAACCTAATACTAACAAAACAGTAGATAAAACTTAAAGCTGCAAGAATAAAGGCTAAAACCAGCAAAACTATAATTAAAAGCTAAAATGATCACAACAGTAACAAAAAGCTAAAAACAACAAAACAGTAACAATAAGCTAAAATTACCAAAAAGTAGTTGAACACTAAAAGCAGCAAAACAATAGCTAAATCCTAAACCTACAAAAACAATAACTAAAACTAGCAAAATAGTAGCTAAATGCTAAAAGTGAAGCAATGCCAAAAGTCATAACTGGAAGGTTTCAAATACGCTGAAAATTCCGATACCTGATTATTTTTTATTAACTCTTACACTTATTTTTGTCAAACAACAATTAAATACATAAAAAATATTCTTGTCTAAGCATACCGCTACAAGAGATCCTTCCTGCCCACAGCCATCAGCATCTATAACAACTCTTTAATGAAACCAGGATGATGAGTTACCACAACATATAATTTCCCTCTGGGATTAATAAAGTATTTTCGAATTGAATTGAATTGAATTGAATATGATTATGTAACACCGACTGGTTTAATAAATGGCCAACAATTGTTACAACTTTTAACTTACGTGAATTTGAGCGTGCAGTTCTGCCAGTCGAAGGGGAAGTAGTTGACATTGATGGAACAAGAAGAGCGGAAGATGGCAGGAGGTAACCAGTAGCAGAGACCATCATACTGCACCAGAACATTGGAATAGTAGGCCACCTCAAACTGGGCATCATTACTGAGGGACGAGGCGGCACAAATTACACAATCTATGGTAAATTATTACCAGTATATCTCTAGCCAGGATATATAACATTCTATGCATTATGAAAGTTTTCTAGGCTTGCTATGGTTAGCTTCCAGATTTTACTAGGCTTAAGCAGCTTTAACTTTAGCTTTGCTAGAGTTAGCCTTTAGGCATGCTAGGGTATGTGTGACGGTTTGCTGCATGCACGTTTGCTTGGGTTAGCATGTAGATTTGTTAGGGTTAGCATGTAGATTTGCTATAGTTAGGTCTCAGGTCAGGTCTCTCTTGTAAATGAGTCCTCGAGGCTCAATGGGATTTACCTGTATAAATAAAGGTTGATTGATAGTTAGCATTCAGATTTGCTAAAGTTAGCATGTAGATTTGCTTGTGTTAACAAGAAGAATTACTAGGGTTACCATGTAAATCTGCTAGCATTAGCATGTAGATGTGCTAAAGTTAGCATGCAGATTTGCTAGGATTAGCGTGTGGATTTGATAAGGTTCAGTGTTTCCCCTACATTACCGTACTTGCCCTGGCAGGGCGCTCAATTTCTTCCATGACTTTTGTCGACGGGAGTGTGTGGGGGGGGGGGGGGGGGG